TGAGGAGAGCAGACAAAAATCCAGGGACAGGAGAGATCACTAGAGGGTATGGCCATCAGCAAAGGATTTATGTAGAATAGGGATTTATGTCCATCAAGGTTTTAAAGTACATAGCATTTCAGATGGCTCAAAGGTATTCTGATAGTCACAAAGGTATTCTGATAGTCACATTACCCCCTTAAAAAGAGTAGGCAACATTTATATAATAGCAAATAATATTGGTTAACATTTCTGGAGAGCTTCTTGTGTGCCAAGTGCTGCTTTAATCACTTGATATGCACCAATTAAAAAAAAAAAAAAAAACCCGTTCGATTCTGACTCATAGCGACCCTATAGGACAGAGTATAACTGTTGCATAGGGTTTCCAAGGAGCGGTTGGTGGATTTGACCTGCTGAACCTTTTGATCAGCAGCTTGAGTTCTTTACCACTGTGCCACCAGGACTCTAGGTGTATGTATGTGTGTGTGTGTATATATATGTGTATTTTTTTTTACTTTGTGCCAGGCTGGGTTCTAAGCACTTTAAATATATATTAATTTATGCTAATAACAATCTATGTGATAGGTGCAATTATTCCCGTATTTCAAATGGCAAAACTGAGGCAGAGAAAGGTTATAATTTGCCCAACCTGTATCATACTCACCATGTTTGTTGACCACAGTGCAATTAGTTAGAAATCAGTACCAAGATATTTTTAACTTTTTTTTCTGAAATTTCATATTTACAGAAAATTTGCATAAATAATAAATAGTATAAAGAATACACCCCTCACCTAATTCTGCAAATGTTAACATTTTACCACGTTTGCTTTATCATTTTCTCTGTACAAATTTTTTTTCCGAACCTTTTGAGATTTAGTTGCATACATAATGCCTCATTATCCCCAAATATCCCAGTGTGCAGTTCCTAAAAGAAGACTTTCTCTTAAGTAACCACAGCACAATGATCAAAATCAGGAAATGAATAGTTACAATACTATTTAATTTACAGACCTTATTCAAATATCAGCTATTGTCTCAAAATATGTCCTTTATAGCAAAAATTTAATTTTTCCCCCCTCAACCAGGATCTCATCCAGGATCTGTGTTTCATTTAGTTAACACATATCTTTAGTCTCCTTTAATCTGAAACTTTTAACATGTATGGGCAGGTTATTTTGTGGACTATCTCTCAATTAGATTTTTCTAAGACGTCAATATTATATTCAGGTTATGTGTTTTGGGCAGGAGTACCACAAAAGTGGTGCTGTATCTTCAGTGCATCGTATTAGGATGCATATAGTGTAAAATTGCCATATTAATGGTGATATTAATACAAGTTATTTTTAAAGAAACACATTTATAAAAACCCTCAAGTCTGTACATTTAAAAACACATTTCTAATTCATAGATCAAAGAAATCATAAATTTAAAAATATTAGCACTGAAAAAAAGTATATGTACACGTGTCTGTATACACACGTAAACAACTGTGAGATGCAGCAAAAGAGACAGTTCAAGTATTTAGAGCCTTATATGCTTGTGTAAGAATAGGAAAAACAAAAACGAACAAAAAAAACCACTGAGTATTAATAAGTTAAATATCCCATTTACGAAGTAAGAAAAATGACAGAATAAACTCAAAAAGCAGAACATAAAGGGACAGAGAAGATTAACAAAGCCAAACGTTGGTTCTTTGAAAAAACTAACGGACAAACTTCAGGCAAAATGGTGAAGAAAAGGAAAGTGAGAAGACACAAATAAACAATATTAGGAAAGGAATTATAAGCACTGTGGTGTGATGGATCACTTTTGTGTGGCCCTTCTAGCCAAGGTCTTGTAACTCCTACCCAAGTGATTGGGCAGGACTGTGCAGATATGCTAATTGTGGCTCACCAAAGAGATTTGTCAGTTTTGCCATCTTGCTGGGCTTGAGGTGAGCTATCCCAGGGGTGAGAAAGAGAGGAACTCACCACCACCAAGGAAGAACAGCTGGGAACCAGCACGTCCTTTGGACCCAGGATTTCTACGCTGAGAATCTCCTCGAAGCAGGAGACTGAGAGAGAGTGAGCGAGCTGTAACCTTGAAGATGGTGAGAAACGGTGGCAGGAGAGACCTATCAGGAAGAACTCAGCAGCAGGAGACATCTCTGTGGACTTCCCAGCCCATGGAGAGAGAAAGCTGAGTGCCTTTGGGCAGAGGCCTAGGGCCAGGGAGAGGTGTGCCTGTGAGCACGGCTGGGAAGAGGCTGTCCTGATGGAAGAACTGTATCCTGAGTGTTCCTGAGCCTGAATTGTAACTGTTATTTCCCTAATAAACCCCATAATCGTGAGTATGGTTTGTGAGTTCTGCAATGAATTATCGAACCCAGCAGAGAAGTAGAGAGAGAGAAGGCATGTCTGACCTCTGCTTCATAGGAATCAGCCTTGGGCTGTTGATCTTGATTCTCCTTCACCCTTGTGAAGAGGGAGGAGGTCAGACACCACCCTCACACCATTTTCATGGGCAAATATCCAGCTGAGGTTTAATAAGGAAATTCCTCGAGCTACTTTATGCTAATAAATTAGGAAAAAACCTATAATGGGCAAATGCTTAGGAAAAAAAAATTTTTTTTTCTCAAAGTTGATGCAAGAAAAAATAGAGATGTTAAATAGTCTTATACCACTGAATAGTCTTAATCTTATTACCACTATAAGAAACAGATACCAGGGCCAGGTGGTTTTACAAGCTTTCAAGGAAGAGATCATTCCAATCTTCTAAAATTCTTCCAGATAATAGTAAAATAGGCAACTCTCTCCAGCTTATTAATGTAGTTATTATAATTTTGATACTAAAACCAGACAGTAAAAGTAAGAGAAAGACTGCAGGCCAATTTCATAAGTATATATATAAAAATCCTAAATAAAATACTAGCAAACTGAATTCAGCAGTATATAAAGTTAATGCAATATGATCAAGAATGTAAAGGCAATTTAATACTGGAAAGTAATAACTAAAGCAAGATCCTGAAACATAAATCCTGAGAATACAGGAATATCACCCCATATGTACTTCAATATGTATAGCCACACTGGACTCCTTGCTGTTCTTGGAACATACCAGGTATGCTCTTTCCTCAGCTCTTTGCACTAGCTGTCTCTCTGCCTGAAATGCGTTTCCTGCAGATAGTGAAAAGGCTCCTCAAGACTGGTCAAAGGCCACCTCTCAGTAAGGCTATCTTGAGTACCTTATTTAAAATTGCAACCCCTACCCCAACCCCAACATACATTCATTCCCCATCCTATTTACCCTGCTTCATATTTTCCTGTAGCACTTAGTGGTACTTAATACTACATTATTTCGTTTATTATCTGTCTCCTTCCTTTACACCCAACCCCTGCCTCCTCAGCTCAGATAGGGGCAAGGATTTTTGTCTGTGTACTGTTTTTTTGTTTAGCACCCAAAAGAGTAACTGGCACATGGCTGGCACCCAGTAAATGCAGATAATGGTATGTCTGGAAACTTAGTAACACTGAAGACAAGCTTGCTTTACATCCTTTTAGGATTGCCATTTTTATTACCCATTTTGCTTGCTATTTAATGACCCATGTAAGAGGAAAGTGGACAAAGTAGTAATATGCTATTCATCATGTTTCAATTTTTAATAACCTAATATGTTTATGTTCATGCTAGTCATTGCAATAACAACGTTACATTTCTAGATTTTGCCTTATAAATATCAATAGAAAGAAGACATATGTCCACAAGGGAACTTAAATTCTGCTCTTATTTATGTTTGTCACAAAATGAGTGACACATAAATAATATAAAAATATTAGAAAGTCACAAAGTGGTGAGCCTTTAAATTTTTTTTTTACTCAATTGGTTTCCAAAATATTAAAACCTTTGAGAATGTCTTTTGATGTTGGTAAACCACAGAGCAAAGTAGCGGAATGCAGGACGACCTATACCTCAGGAATTTTTGGTGTCAATAGAGCTAAGAAATTATAGCACTACTTAAGCTCGTTTCATTCCTGTAAGATACCATTATCACAATAAATTTCCTCTTCCACACTGAATCAGCACCATTTGTATTGGCATCAATGTTCACTCTATTTAAACTTCAGTTCTACTGTATTTCAATGAAATAAATATCAAATGAGAGTTCAGAATTCATCTCTTTAGAGCAGGACCACATTTGAGGAAATGAAGAGCAGTAACACCATCTTCACCCATTGCTGTCGAGTCATTTCCGACTCATAGCAAACCTATAGGACAGAATAGAACTGCTGCATAGGGTTTCCAAGGAGCGGCTGGTGGATTTGAACTGCCAGCCTTCTGGTTAGCAGATGAACGCTTAACTGCACCACCAGGGCTCCACACCACCTTCAGCATTTAGTTATCCCGAGTGCATGACTGACGCAGGGCAAATCAGAACACACATCATTATGTGTGATGAAATAAATTAAAATCCAGTTTTCTGTGTTGTGAGGTAAGCTAATTCCACATATATAATCAATACTGTCTTCCCTACTCTTTTTGGGTCCTAAGCCTCACCTAGCCACATAAGAACATAAAACCAAGTCAGCATAAAGTTAAGTCTAAAGATTTTGCTTCACTATTTTGAAGGTTAGGAGTCATTGGTTTCTCTTTTGGTACAATTTTTCTTTTCATGTGCCTGGAAAAACACATTTTCATGTATCCTTGAGTGTCAAGTATAGGGGATGCTTGCCAAGTTGAAGCAGTAAGTGCCATAGTTCAGAAGTTTTCAAATTGCTAAGGGATTTCCTATCCAGAATTCAACTATTTCCTAACTGGGATAAAAGAAAACAAAGCATTTTGTATCCTTGCAAATCAATCCTTCCACTCTCTACCACCTCTCCACCCAAAACAGCAACCACAACGAACCAACCAACATGTGAAAGCAGATAAAACGCTGCCCAAATCATCAGGTTGTGTTTTTACACACACATTTCTATGACAAAATGAGAGAGAGAAAAAAGGGTAAACAATGTCTTTTTCATAAAGTCAAACTGATTCCATTTAAATGATTATCCTTTATTCTGAAATTATGTTCTTCCTACATTTTGGGTGCTAAAATCTCTTACACAGCCTAGGTAAGGGTTTGTGTTACAAGTTTCACAATCTTGGATTAGTTCTTAGTGAATTCTCCATTAAAGTTTTGTAGCAGGATACAAATTAAGTCTTTATTTCAGGTCAATCTAAACATGGCCTTAATTTCAAGCACCAAAAAACGTATTTTCAATCAACACCGTGGTTATATCATCTTTTATTAAAACTAATTATATCAGTACCTATAGGGTACTGATTTAAAAAGTGTAATACCAGTTCTGTGATATTGTTAGAGGAGTAGCCTGTTTTCACACATGTGAGCGCTAGCAGTGAGGGCCCGGGCTTTCCTGGGTCAGTGGCACCATAGGTGGCTGCCAGTCTCAAAGTACATTTTGGTCCATTTACCTTCATAAATCATACCATATAGCTTTCAGTATTTAGACACATTTAAACTGAAAAGAAATATGCGTTAGGGGAAAGCATATATTAGTGGGTTTCATGTGTCAGAAACAACTCCATTATTTCATGAATTATTTTCATGCCATTAGCTACCTTTGAGAAATTATTCTTTCATGTAAATGAACAGACTGGAACATACTTTTAGAAGACCTTACAGAGATCTATGTAAATTGCAGTATGTCCTCCCATAAATAATACCAACTAATCTCCCTTCCCTCAAAGTGTTAGAAACAAAAGAGAGTAGCTAGTCATTACTTTTTAAAGTCTGTTTCAGAGAAACTAGAAGGATAATGATCACTGGCATTTTGAACCAGGTGCAAGAGTTGAGTTTTGTCTGACACTATGATTCTGTGATTTGCTGTACTTGTATCCCTTCCCATTAAGCTGTTCTGGCTAATATTAATTTGATATCCATTTGATATGAGCATTTATATTAAACTTCAGAATAACTCCTGGTAGTATCCTAAGAACAACTTAACTTTCCTCCCAATTATGCAACATTTAGCCATGTTAGTAACAATCAAAAGGACAACTGAAGGGTTAGGAGGCAAGAGAGTGCCTTGCGGTGCACATGCAGAGGCTAGGGCATCTGGTGAAGGTACTCAATGCAGTCATCAGTGCTTAATTCTTCTTGGTTTTCTTCATATAGCGAGCCCGCGTAGACTTGTTCAAATTCATGGCCATTTTCAAGTAAATCCAAGAAGGCAGGGATGAGATTATTGAGGCCTAAGAAAAGAAAAAGATGAGATATGTAATTATTGCCTACAATTTGGGCTAAATTGAAGCATATGATCTTATGTTTTATTAGATACCATACCAGTTGCCATAAAGTTGATTACGACTCATGGCGACCCATGTGTGTCAGAGTAGAACTGTGCTCCACAGGGTTTTCAATGGCTGATTTTTTGGAAGTAGATCACCGGGCCTTTCTTCCGAGGCATCTCCGGGTGGATTTGAACTTCCAACCTTTCAATTAGCAGTTGAGCACATTAACTGTTTGCACCACCCAGGAACTCCATGGCTTCCCTATCCAAGCCTATTATCACAGCTATTATTTTATTTATAGGTAGATTTTAAAGTTGTCTGTGTACAGTTTAGAAAAATAACAGGGATGCCTTGTTAGTATGTCCAGACAAGGTATATATGCTAGTATATCACGTACTATTTTGTGACTCTGTGGAAAAGAGAACTCCGAACCAGAAAGTACTGTTTTGGGACTTAAAACTTTACATACCATGAGAGAATGGATCAGGTATCCACTGGTTCGGGACTGCAAGCCTATTGTTTTCATTGCAGACTTCACATATGTCTCCGAAGAGGGCTTATCCAAAGTTGGCTTTCGGATTTTAGCCAGTTTTGTAGCTACGAAGAATGGCAAGACACTCTAGAAAGGAAACACCCCCCATAACATGTCATTGAATAGGAAGGCCACAAACTCAGAATTCAGTGATACTTGTTCTTGTTAGTAGAACCATTCGGATGAAATCTAAAATGTGTATCTTTAGAGAGAAAAAAAAGAGAGAAACAGCTATCTAAAGCCAGCTTGAAAGAACATATGATAGTAGCATAAAACAAATTGTAACACATCAATCTATCAGTAACAGAATTTGAGACTAGGAAAGGTATTAAAAATAAGAAGAAATAAATCTTTTTGAAGTTTAAAAAGGAAGGCATTAAACAGAAATTTAGAGAGCAGAACGAGTCAGGATGGGATACTCTTTCTACCCTGACTAAATTGAACATTGTTACAGAACCACCAAATAGGAGATTTCTGACATTTTATCCTCCTAAATTCTCTCCGTAACTAACAGTTAATTAAGCTTGTTCTGTCAGCTTTGGTCCTTCTCAAAAAAACTTTTCATTTTCTCAGCCTTGGGTTACCACTTTCCTTCCCTAGTTTCTTACCATTCTTTTTCTGAGTTTAATAAACTTTCCTATTGATAAGATAGGACCACCTTCCTTTTTTAAAAATATATATTTATTTTTTCCATGTTGGCAGGGGGAACAGCAAAACAATACAGAAACAACTCGGGTAACTAAAAGTTACCTTACAGGGCTGGTGTGGGATGACAAATCTGAACACTACCTTTTAGAGGAACTTAACTAGTGTTCAGTTCTTTAGAGCTGATGGTTTTTACACTTTGGGGATGTGATTCAACATAAAATATATGGAAGCCCTATTACAACAAGTCATGAGTCATGATACAAGAGGTCCTTCTGTAATTTGAAATAACTTGGGCATACCCATTGCCGTCAAGTCGATTCCGACTCATAACGACTCTATAGGACAGAGTAGAACTGCCCCATAGGGTTTCCAAGGAGCTGCTGGTGGAGTTGAACTGCTGACTTTTTGGTTAGCAGCCTGAGATCCTACCCACTGTGCCATCAGGGCTCCAACTTGGGCATAGTTGCCTACAAAAGAGTGAGTGTATTCTGTTTGTCTTACACGTGTGAAAGGAAAAGGTATAAATTAAAATGATACTTTTTTTAATGAAGAGGTGGTCAATACATGGTAGTAAAAAGCAAAAACTCCATTACTAGAGGTGGAAATAAAACTAAGATGTGTTTCAGACTATGGATTTCCTTCCTGCTGAGACCTAGGAGTGTTCCCCATGTCTCTTTGTATGTCTTCTTTGTATGTACCCGGATATGGGGAGGCCATTATTAAGTAATATTTTTCCCACTCCCAAGTTTGAGTCAAAGAATACAACCCACCCTCCTTAACAGGTGGTCTGAAACTTCAGCTATTTGTTAACAACCAAGAACCCAAGGGCCTACCCACTGTCACTCTCCATCTTTCTCTGTCTCAGTTCCTGCAGCCATAAAACCACACTAAGTAAATTAACTTCCCCATAGTACTTTGATATCTGAGCTAACTTTGATTAGGGGACTTTCATTTTTTGAGAATATGTTGATTGGAACAATCACTATACATATATTCCTCACTTTATGAGCAAAAATTTTTCTTTTGCCAAAAAGTTCTGTTTTAGTTTTAAAACCATGTTGCTGCAAGATATAGTAATATGAAAGCACATAGATCAGAGATATCTCCAACTAATACAAAGTATGAAATGCATAGTTCAGTAAGCTCTAACATGGGGTAGCTAAAGTCTGTTCACAAGCAAAGATGAGTAGCAAACAAAGCAAAATGGTATATGCGTGCATATAATCTTGTCTCAAATAATGAAGAAACATAAGCAAACAATTTCACATCTCTCTGTCTCAGATTTCTGGGTTATGAGAAAAATGTTCCCATATATAGATTACAAGCCTACTAAAGGTAAAGCTTTGAGCATGTTGAGATAAATATAGTCTAATATTTATACCTTCAGTTATAATTATTTTTACCTTCCAGAGTCCTTCTTTCCTTCTTTATATATATATATATTACATATATACATGCACACATATAATAAACCAAAAAAACCCAAACCCGTTGCCATCAAGTTGATTCTGACCCACAGCGACCCTATAGGACAAAGAACTATCCCATAGGGTTTCCAAGGAGCAGCTGGTGGACTGCCGACCTTTTGGTTAGCAGCTGTATCACTTAACCACTGTGCCAGCAGGGCTCTTCCACATATAATAGTCATATATGTGTGTGTGTGTGTGTGTATACATATATATATATAAACCCATTGCTGTTGATCCTATAGGACAGAGCAGAACTGCCCCATAGGTTTTCCAAGGAGTGGCTCGTGGATTCGAACTGCCGAACTTTTGATTAGCGGCTGAGCTCTCAACCACTGTACATGTATACATATAATAGTCCTATATATATGATCCAAAATACATATATGGCATAAATTATCCATATATATATGTGTATATATATATATATATACACATACATACATACACATATATATGGCATAAATTGGACTATTTTGGTCTTGTGGAAGACTTAAGCTGCACTGCCCAAATGAACCACTTGATGGTGCCACAGGTTAACTCATCATTCAGTTAAATCACGGAGAAGGTCTAGAGAATCCCTGGCTTTGGGGGTGGGGACAAGAGATGTACACTCAGGAATTTCAGGTTATTTTTTTTCCAACTAAGAAACGTAAATTCTTTTCTGGAAAGGGTATTTACTTATTTCCACAACGGTTTAAAAACAAGGCAGTGAGCAAGGCCTCGTGGAGAATGGAAAGGATCAAGAGGAAAGAACTTTTGATCTAAGTCTTAAGTGAAGTGGAGGAGTTTGCCAGGTAAAGAAATAAGGGAAGACAATTTTGGGGCAATGAGAACAGTAGGAGCATGATGTTTTCAGGGCACTGCAAGTAGTTCTATATGGTTCAAACATGGGAAACAGTGAAACAGTGGCAGGATAGAAGCTGAAAAGTACAGAAAAGTAAGTCCAATTACTGAACGGCATCGATTTCTAGAATGTAAGCTCCGTGAAGACATGGTCTTATTCACTACCATATTCCCACTGCTTAGGACACTACCTGGCACATAGTAAGGGTGGAATTAATAATTATTGGATGCATGAACAAAAGAACATTTCACTATCCACAGCACTGAAGAACATTATTAGGGCTCATGTTCCACTGCTGTAGTCCAGAAAAAAATTATACCAAATTATACCAAAGTCCCTAATCTGACAGAGCTTACATTTTAGTGGGGGCTTGCAGACTATAAACAAAAAATCTAAAATGTACAGGTGATGATAAAAGGGACAAAGAAAAATAAACTCAGGTAAAGGCAGAGATAGATGATAAGAGTTTGTTCCTGCTGTTCAGTTGATCAAGAAAGGCCTCTGATATGATCACACATAAGCAAATATCTGAATGAAGGGAGGAAGCTAGCCAAGAAGATACGTGGATAAATACCCTTTTAGACTGAGGGATCAGCAAGTGCAAAGGCCCTGAGGTGGGAGTGTGCTCAGTGTATCCGAGGAACAGCAAGAAGGCCAGTGTGGCTGGAGTGCAATGGGTTAGGAGGGAAGGGGGTAGCAGGAATGGTAGGACATGTAGTTAGAGAAGTGGGGGGGGGGGCGTAGATAATGTGGAATGTTTGAAATCAGAACAGAACACTGTGGGCCATGGTAGGAACTTATGATTTTACTTTGAAAGAGATGAGAAAGCATGGGAGAATTTTTAGCAGAGGAGTGAAATGACCTGATTTCTTTCTTTTTTTTTTTTTTAAAGAGATTTTTTTTTTTTTTCACCTGATTTTTAAAGAGATCAGTCTGGCTGCTATGCGCAGACTATTGGGGCTATTGGCAAGGCTTGGCATAGGGAGGCCAGATAGGAGGATATTGCACATAGTCCAGGGCAAGAGATAACGGTGGCTCAGATTACAGTGGTGGCAGCAGAGGTCATGAGAAGTGGTCAGACTGTGGATATATTTTGAGGATAAAAGTAAGATTTCCTGATGGATTGAATTTGCGGTATGAGAGAAAGAGGTAGTAGATTATAGGGGGAAAACAATATTAATTTTGAAATCAAACAGACTTGAATTCAAATTCCAGTTTGACCCCTTACTAGTTGTGTGATCTTAAGCAAAAAACTCAATGACTGAGTCTTAATTTCTTCCTTAGCAATTGGGGGATAACACATCTTCCCTACTATACTATGAATGAAGTACTGTAAGTTAAAGAGTGTGGGACTGGAACTCTGGTGAGTGTTGGCAATTATTTTGTACATTTTCTGAAGTTTTTATATTTTTCAGAACGAATTTGGAAAGAAAAACTTGGCTGTCTGAGGTCTTATATCCTATAACACGTGTGTATGAAAGCATTTTCCATAGAAAATATCTGACTGTTGAGGTGACCATCTGGATATCTCAGGTCTTTTTGGACACAGATTTGATATGGCTTGGATGTACTAATGAACCTCTCAAGTTTTTAGTTCTTATGGTGCAAAACTGTTGTAAACGGCCAAGAAAAATAGACATTATCAGTGACAAAAATGGAGATTCACCTGTTTGGAAGAGTTCTAAGTCCAATTATCCCAGCAGTACTGATTTTACTATTCTTAAGTCATTTCTCAAAATTAGTACCGTTGACCAGATATGAATATTTCCTGTGAGAATCTTCACATTGCCTTATAGTTCTTCCTATTTAGACTCCATTTGCACTAAAGACACACTCCCTTACCTTCTTTTATTGTCATCAGCTATTAATAAGAAGAATAGGTGGAGACTTGTGTTTTCAATCCCAGTAGCCATTTCTTAACACTTAGCTTTCTAGTTCTTTGAAGCCCAATAGATCTATATAATTACTTTAAGCAACAAAATATTTTAACAAAATATATGAGGAATATCTTCTTAAATAATATTCTGATAGTTTCATTAAATTAAAAAAAAAAAAAACTTGAATTTTGTTTTCTCCCGCATCCCAACTTGTCCTACTTATTTTCTAAGTTTCATAGATGAAACCAA